ATACTACTGGCCGACAATGGTTAGAGATTGTATGGATTATGCCCAAAGATGTCAAGCGTGTCAATATCATGCAAATTTGATCCATCAACCTCCTGAGCCGTTGCACCCTACTGTTGCTTCATGGCCTTTTGATGCTTGGGGATTAGATGTGGTTGGTCCTCTGACAAAGTCTTCGGGTGGTCATCTTTATATTCTGGCTGCGACTGACTACTTCTCAAAATGGGCTGAAGCGGTTCCTTTGAAGGAAGTGAAGAAAGAAAATGTTGCTGACTTCATTCGTGTAAACATCATCTACCGATATGGAATCCCACGGTACATCATAACGGATAATGGAAAGCCTTTCAGCAACAGCCTAATCGATAAGCTTTGCGAGAAGTTCAACTTCAAGCAAAGAAAGTCTTCTATGTACAATGCGGCGGCCAATGGACTCGCTGAAGCGTTCAATAAGACTTTATGTAGTCTTTTGAAGAAGGTCGTAGCTAAGTCAAAGAAGGATTGGCACGAAAGAATTCATGAAGCGCTTTGGGCGTATCGCACCACTTATCGGACTCCCACTCAAGCGACCCCGTACTCACTTGTATATGGTGTTGAAGCTGTCGTTCCTCTCGAGCAACAAATTCCATCATTGAGGATCGCCATACAAGAAGGGTTGACTGAAGAAGATAATGCACGACTGCGCCTTCAGGAATTAGAAGCTCTCGATGAGAGAAGGTTGGAAGCGCAACAAAGACTTGAATGTTATCAAGCTCGTCTTTCAAAGTCGTTCAATAAGAAGGTCCGAGCTCGTTCTTTTCAAGTAGGAGATCTGGTGCTTGCTGTGAGAAGACCCATCATAACTACTCATCGTGTTGGGAACAAATTCGTGTCAAGATGGGATGGACCGTATGTCGTCACGGAAGTCTACACCAATGGCGCGTATAAGTTGATTTCGGAGGATCGAGTCAAGATTGGCCCTATCAATGGGAAATTCTTGAAACGCTACTACGCTTAGTTGTACTATGTATTAATTTAAAAAAAAAAAAATAAAAAAAAAAAATAAAAAAAAAAAATTGAGGAGTCGTGAGAGATCATTATCATTTTTCAACACCGGCCAGGGAAAATCAGCTGAAGCCGTAGCCGTAGATGTGAACACTTATTGAACCCCTTTCAACACATCACCACTTTCACTAGTAATAGTCTTCGACCACTTTCATTGCTCGTACAGTCTTAGAGCATCTCTAATGCATTCTTTTGAAAGGGTAAAAAGTTATCCAACTAATCTAGATAGAAAGTGTGTGAATAATATATCCTCCAATGCATTAGATTATGGGTCCTTTCATGCTTATGTGTAAAAAATTAATGTTAACATTGTCAAGCTCACTTTCTAATTTCTCACATTCTTTCTAACATGGTGACTCATCATTTTGATAATTATTTGACACAAATTTTGAGCTTTTCATAAACTTGGAAAAATCCCACCCTTACATTTATCCAATAAAACATTTGAGAATTTATTTGAATACAATATAATTATTTGATGAGTTACAACTAAAATATAAAAAAATTATCAATAATAATGTCCTTAAAAGTAAAATATTATGTTCATGATATTTGTTTGTTGAGTTATTGCAATTTTAATATTTTGTTGTTTTATTTTGAACCAATTAAAAAAATATTTATTGTGTGGTTATACATATTGTAACTGAGAAATTATTGAATAAATAATAATTTTATAAATTTGATGATATAAATAAAAATTAACTGAATCAACAAAAAATAACATCATGCATATAATTATTGGAATTTGTGGTTTTTTTCTAATATACTCTTTGATTTTATTAATAATTGAATAAATCCACATATACAAATTGTATGGTTGTTGAAGGGATGCATTGGAGGCAACAATTCAAATGAAAGTCCTATTCTTTTAACATTCAATTTATATAGATTAAACATTAATCCATTGATTGACATGTGTTAAAATTTAATTAATGTTGAAAGTTGNGAGCAGTAGGTTTCTTCGCACACGTTGGAACATTTGCTACAGAAGTCGCTTCATCGTCTTGAGACTCTTCGTCATCGTCAGAACCAAAGACGTCCCGTTGAGCCTGAAAAACATCAATTAGAAAGAGAACTCGAGGTAGAAGTAAAGAAGAAGAGATAGACTTGGGAAAACCTTAGCAATGAGATCCTCTGTCTCATGTTGATTTTCGACTGTTTTCTCCACGTGCTGCGAAGAATCAGTCGTTCGCTTTGCTCTCTTCCAATGTCGATCGGGATTGCTACTTTCTACTAAAGAGGTGGACCCACTCTTTCTCTTATTGGTCCCAGGAATTCTGGCGAGAAGCGCATCATCATCTTCACTTGTAGGATCACCCTGGTCAACAACTAGCTCCTTGTCTTTCGAAGATATCACTTTGGGCTTTGACGCAAGTAAATCCTCTATATGACGCTCAAGATAGCCTCCATGAACTTGATGCCACCATGACTTATAAGCTGGAGTGGATTTCTTCGCGTTTGTTGAGGCACAAGGCAACGAAGCTTTAGATGAGGATCCGCATAGAACGCTCAGTTGCCAATAGTGAATTCCGTCGTCAAGAGAGCCCTCACGGAAGTCTTTCTTTAAAATGCCGGGAACATCTTGATAATACCCAAATTGACGACTGAATCGATGAGGACTATATGGCTCTATAAGAAAACGATTGCCTTGACGCCACGTTAGGTAGTTAGACCGAATCGCCATGAAGTATCTCCATTCGAATCCAGGTCTTCGTTGATCATCGACGTATCGGGAAGTCTGGTCATTGATGATGATGTTGCAAGTCCATAAAGCGGAGTCCCCCTTGTGGATACGTCTGCGGGCTTCCTCAGGCTCAAAGTGTCTTGCGCCGTTCTCACCGGAATATGTCACCATCATAGGCTTGCGTGTTTGACCAATTGTGAAGTGAGTTTTAAAATAGAGTGCCAGCCAGCCGTAAACAAAGTGGACGGGAAAAATCGATCGAGATGGACTAATGCAGCTTGTAAACTCGTTCAGCCCCTTGTAGATGCTCGTCAACACCGGAATTGCGAGACCAACCGTCTGACCCTTGACCATCATGCTTGCCATCTTGAAGGTGCCCGGACGAATTATGTCAACATCGCCGTTGGGAAGGACGAATGTGCATATCCAACAGGAGAGGTAGGCCGCCAAATGAATTTCTTCTTGCAGCTTTGGTTCGGTCACGACCATCTTCTTGAACAATAGATCTTCGGCGGAGGTCCAGCGTCGATGTTCTTCGAAGGTGCCGGGTGGATTATAAGTTGACTTGAGGCGAATTATTCTCTTCTTCTCTCCGTTCCTCTTGTCAGCACGATTGGGGGGTTGTTTGTATTTGATGGGCTTCTTCGACCAAAATTGCACCCATCGATCGATTGACACTTGTCTGTCGTCGGTTTCTTTGCACAATAAATGATAGGCGTGGAAAAGGTATCTGCAGCAGCGGGGGAGGCATAAATTCTTGTCTTTGTTGATCCCGACCAACTCGTCTACATCCGGCACCACCTCGTCAAAAAATAAACCCACTCGATGGAAGTCCTGCTAATGTATGTAGATCCCATAGCGAAATTGAAAGCTCCCCGAAAGACGTTAAAAGTGTGTTGGTAGAAGGACACCACGCCTCGCAGAATGCCTTGATGATCTCGGGATTGCAGTCGTAGGTGAAAAGCGAAGCGTAAACAGCATCATAGATCTCTGCCTTGATTAGGTTGCTCTTGCACCGGCTAAGTATGTCTTCAGTCCATTCCCAGTATCCTCGCGTGTAGTGAAATTCGCCGGCAAAGTTGATGGCTTCTCCCCATGCAGCTTCACCTCGTGTGATGCGTCGTCCTAAAGTAGGCAATGGCGACGGCTCTGTCTCGTTCTGCTGGTTGTGGTGAGTCGCTTGCAAGATCCATGCTTTGGACTTCCCGTAGGCACACTCTTGAGTCCACTCGCTCATGGAGTTTTTAACTTTTGGCCACGTCTCGGAAAAATCACCAATGATTGGGTCTTCAACTGCAAAACGGGTCCCTTTCTCTAGCGGTTGGTACTTGGTGTCGAGGACTACTAGATATCTTTTTTCCCGGATAGAAGTGCTTGTAAAGTAGACCATCTTGTTTGCTGAAATCACAAGAGTTAGAATAAAATTTGAGATTAGAATAGAAAAGAGAGCTAAGTAGCTTAGATTGAATAAGTTCGGTAAATTGACTTACAAGTATTTCCTCAAAGAAATTTGCTCGAAACTTGGAAGTTTGATGTCGACAAAAACGGGCCACGCACTAAAAAAAAAAAAAAAAAAGACGTGATTAATCAAAAGAAAAAGGGGTAAGAGGAAAGAAAAAGAGCAGCAAACGGCTCCAAAACAGCCCCGAATCAACTCAAACGGCTCCAAAACAGCCCCGAATCAACTCAAACGGCTCCAAAACAGCCCCGTTTCGGCCCGAACAGCTCCAAAACAGCCCCGTTTCGGCCCGAACAGCTCCAAAATAGCTCCGTTTCAGCCCGAACAGCTCTCGAATCGCCTCGTTTCAGCCCGAACAGCACCCGAACACAGTCGTTTCGGTCCGGACAGCACCCGAGCCACTCCGTTTCAGCCCATATGAAGCCCCGACATCTCGTAAGAAGCCCCGACGGCAATAAGAGCGTCCCGACAAGCTTTGCGGATATCCCGAATGATAACTCGAACATAAATGTAACAGAAAGAAAGAAGACGGAACGGGAAGATAATGAAAAATCAGTTTGCTAATACCTTTCGGCCAATCTGTCGAACAGCTTGCGGTCAAAAGCTTGAGAGATGATGCTTACGGATTCTGTTATGTAATACGCCCGATAATCAAAGAAAAAAAGAGGAGTTGCAGTTTAGCTCGAAAAAGAAAAAGAACGAGAAAAGAGGGAGATAAGGGATGTACCTATGGCTTCTTGATTTGTGACGATGATGGAGCTCGAGCCTCCCTTTTTATAGGAGGGAATTCTTAAGTTTAGGAAATTTTTGACTCCTGATATGAAGAGGAATTTGATATGGACGTTCAGTATTTTGAAATTGGAAAAAAATAAAAAAAAAAGAAAAAAAAAAAAAAAAAAAAAGATTTGCTGAATCCTGTGTATGGAAACTGGTTCTTGAGCAGTTGAATATTTGCTTGTGTTTGAAGGTAATCGAATCTTGGAGAAGAGCAGTACCTTTTGAATTGGGAAGAATATATTTACATGCCCATTTGTGAGAATTTAAATATGTTGTATGTGGATATGTGTGGCAGTGGGTATAGAAACTTGATCAGATTTGGACTACATGCATATATCCATTTTCCATAAATTTTACATACCTGAAAGCATTAATATTAATTTGGTCACGTAGACTTTGATTTGAATCAAGAGAAGTTGAGTGGGGCTAAAATAATTACGTGGGTCAAGCTTGGATGGTTTTGGATTATCTGTTCAAATTTGTGGATATGCTAAAGGCCCAAAATTTTCTCCCGTTAATGGATTAGTAGTGCACTTTTGTGGAAAGTCCATCTCTAGTGTTAAGCTCAAATCAAATAAAGTCGCGACTTATTCACTCCAAGACACGTCGTCCGTGAACAAGTCTCGAGGGGGCATTTGTAAATAAAGAAATTTTGTGGCCAATCAAACGGCGACACGTGGAAATTAATTTATTAAAAATCAAGTCATATTTTCTATTTATATTTTAGGAATTTCCATATATTTAATTCCTAAATTTAAATAGTTAATTAATTGATATTTTAATATTTTAATTCTTGACCAATCAAATAATGCCAAGTGTCAAATCTTAATTCTTGGTAATAAATCATATGGCATCTAGAAGATCTTGGAAGATCTAAGTAGATCTAAAAGATCTTATGTGAATCATCATGGACCAATCAAATCGTGTCCTACGATTCTTAAATTTGGTAGGGTTCTCCATCCTACACCTATAAATAGGGGCTCTCCCTAATGTCAAAAACACACATCATATTTCATATTCAAAGTTCAAGAGCTCTAGAGAATTCTCTCGACGAGATTCAAGTGTTCTTGAAGATTTAAAGGCGTTCTTGAAGAATTCGAAGCAAGATTCAAGCGCATTCAACCTCAAGACTGGCGTTCAATCCGGAAACAAGCTGCAAAGCCTCCGAATAACGTTAGTAAATTCAAAACCGGCGTAGAGAAGATTCAAAATCTACTTTGCGACGAAGACCAAGGATTCGTGTTCTTTGCGTTCTTGGGATATTTCGACGTTTGATCCGAAATCAAGGCGTTGGCCCTCGGATTAACGTTAATTCAAGTCAAATCAAGTCAAGGAGAAGATCAAGCCGAAGATTTCGCTCCAATATTTAAAATTGTTCGTGAGAAGAATCAGAGGAGAAATTAGAGATTGTAACCCATTATATTTATTTTGATTCAAGAAGTTCATTTGAATAATATTTTTCGTGTTTATAAATTCAATACACGAAATTTGTTGTTACAGGGAGATACTTTTATTCAAATAGATTTGAGAAAAATTCTAGTGTCACTAGGCACAAAGAAAATACGACCGGAAGTTTAATAATGATCAATGAATTTGATTCTTCTCAACTTCCCTAGGAGCGGACAGAGGTATATTGTAGGGGGCCACAGTCCCCCAAAAGCTTTTTGTTTATTTAACCAGTGTTTTAAATATTGTACCGGTAATTATACCGGATGAGTCAACGGCACGCGGTTTAACCGGTTCAACTGGTTTTACCAGTTTAAATAAATATTAAATTAATTTGTTATTATAATATAAATAATGTACAAAACTAACTTTAATTAATACTAAAATTAACTAATATCTAATAACAATGTAAATATATTAAAATTAAGTGTAGAACTTTCAAATTATATAAATAAATTAATGAACCGTCCAGTCCGGTTTTGATAACCTTGGTGAAAATGTCTCAAAGGGAGATACTTTGAATTCAAATAGATTTGAGGAAAATTCTAGTGTCACTACGCACAAAGAAAATACGATCGAAAGTTTAATGATGATCAATGAGTTTGATTCTTCTCAACTTCCCTAGGAGCGGACATAGGTATATTGTAGTGGGCCACAGTCCCCCCAAAGCTTTTTGTTTATTTAACCTTACCGGTAATTATACCGGACGAGTCAACAGTACGCGGTGTAACTGGTTCAACCGGTTTTACCGTCTGCTTTACCGGTTTAAATAAATATTAAATTAATTTGTTATTATAATATAAATAATGTACAAAACTAACTTTAATTAATACTAAAATTAATTAACATCTAATAACAATGTAAATATATTAAAATTAAGTGTAGAACTTTCAAATTATATAAATAAATTAATGAAAATATATTAAAAAATATTCTTTTTTAAAATTTTTTTTTGGCATAAACCGGTATTTTGGCCGATACTTGCGGTAAAACCGGTATTTTGCGGTATGAAGCCGGTATAAATAGGTCTTTTGGCCAAAACTGTATTTAGAATGTAAACGTACCGGTCGGACCACCGGTATCCGGTATTACTGGTAATACCGACCGGACTTGAAAGGGAAGTCCGGTATTTTGACTGATATTTTGGCTAATACTTCTCGTAAATTCTTTTACTATCTTTGTTGAAAGGGAAGTTGTAAGATCTATTTCTATCGAGTCAATCATCGATAAGTTTCGTGACTTGAACGAACGTCGAGCGCAATTCTATCAGTCACAAAGTTTGAACGGTATGTATTTTCTTGAACTACTTTTTTTTTTCTTTTCTATTCTAGAAATGCAACTTTGTCTTTTTAATGAAGTATGTCGTTATTGAAAATTATTTAGTCCCCCTAATTTAATTTTCTAGATCCGCCCTTGAACTTCCCTCTGATCCCGGATTGAGAATTCCAATCTCAAGGTACAGTCTAAAGATTAGAGACCAAGTTCGAAGAGCATATTTGCATAAAGGCCCTTGTCAACCGTTTGATCACCATTTTCCAATGACGAAAGCCTCAACGTCATCAACAAAGGCTGGAAGATTTATTCCTGGTTGGTTTACAGAACATGAGTGGTTGGAGTATAACATTTCTAAAGATGCTGCATATTGTCTCTATTGTTATCTTCTTAAACCAAATAGAGGAAAACAATTAGGAGGAAAAACATTTGTTACAGAGGGGTTCAAGTCTTGGAAAGAAAAATCGAGACTTGATGTTCATGTCGGGAAACATGACAATGAACACAATCAAGCGCACATGAATTGTGATGCACTGATGAGTCAAAATGTTCATATTCAGACAACTCTAGAAAAACAGTCTAAACAAATGAGGGATGATTATCACATTCGGCTCGCTGCATCTCTTGATTGTGCACGACATTTGTTGCGATTGGGGCTACCTTTCCGGGGTCATGATGAATCGAAAGATTCTCTTAATCCAGGTAATTTTCTTGTCACTCTGGAATATTTAAGAGCTCACAATGATGGCATTGCTTCAGTGACAATGGAAAATGCTCCTAAAAATTGCAAGTTAACAGCTCCTTGCATTTTGAAAGATTTGTCTTATGCTTGCGCCGCAGAAACTGTTAATGTGATATTAAAAGATGTCGGAGATTCTTTTTTCTCTATTTTGGTTGATGAGTCTCGTGACATATCGACTAAAGAAAAAATGTCCATCATTTTGAGATATGTAGATTCTTGTGGACATGTAAAAGAACATTTTATTGGAGTTGAACATGTCACAAGTACTACGACAATTTCTCTTAAAGATGCCATTGACAAGATGTTGTCGAGACATAATTTGAGAATATCTAGATTGCAAGGGCAAGGTTACGATGGGGCTAGTAATATGCAAAGGAGGATTAGTGGTTTAAAAACACTTATTTTAAATGAGAACCCAAGTGCACATTATGTGCATTGTTTTGCTCATCAGCTCCAACTAGCCCTTGTAGTTGTGGCTACAAAGAATCTTCCAATTGCTGATTTCATGATCTTCTTCGTGAAAAACAAATGAGCTATATTGATGGGGCACTAGAAAGGGGTGAGATTTCAAGTGGACGGGGTCTAAACCAAGAAGCTAGTCTTCAACGGCCGGGTGATGCACGTTGGGGTTCGCATTATAGATCTTTGATTAGCTTGATTTTTTTATTTTCTCCCGCGGGTGATGTGCTTGATGTGATCTATGCGGATGAGTATTCTACTTCTATCCAAAAGGTAGAATTTGAGATATTATTGAAGTCGATTCATTGCTTTAAATTTGTCGTAAATTTGCATATGAGAAAATCATCTTGGGAATATCAAATGAGTTGTCCCAAGCACTACAAATGAGAGACCAAGATATTGTGAATGCAATGGATTTTGTTAGAGTTTGTAGATATCGATTTCAAGAGTTGAGAGATAGTGGATGGAATTTATTATTTGACGAGGTTTGTTAGTTTTGTGAGAAACATTCTATTGATGTCCCCGATATGACTAGCATGTTTATTCGATTTGATCCTTCGGTCCACTTCGTAATGCACCCAAAATAACATATTTGCATCATTATCGAGTTGATTTATTCTGTGCCGTGATTGATTTGCAACTACAAGAGTTACGTGATCGTTTCTCGGAGGCTAGTACGGAGTTGCTACTTTGTATAGTTTGTTTATCTCCACGAGATTCTTTTTCTGCTTTCGACAAGGAAAAATTAGTCAAGATGGCTGGGTTTTATCCCTAGGACTTTTCTATATCCGATGTTCTCATTCTCGAGGATCAGCTGCAGAACTACATTGTTGATATGCGCTTCAACAATTTGTTTAAAGATATGAAAGGACTCGACGAACTTTCAAAAAAGTTAGTGCAGACGAAGAAGCACAAAGTGTTTCCTTTGTTTACAAACTTTTAACTTTGGCGTTGGTCTTACCGGTTGTAACAGCTAGCGTGGAACGAATATTTTCCGCAATGAATATTACTAAGGATAGATTGATCAATCGAATGAGTGATGATTGGTTAAATGATAGACTACTAGTTTTGTTGCTGTCTTGAATTAACAACTTCAAATTAAACTTAGCTGATGTTTCAAAAATGAAGATAAAAGTTTAATTGGATTTCAT